AGATGACATGTTTAATTACAATTGTGCTTTGATAGCCGATGGTCTGTTCTTTATGAATTTTCTGGATGCCGTTGCAGAGGGAGATGGTGCCAGGACTGTTAGACAGTACCGCTACCTTATGATGTACTGCAGATCAGATGACAACCACAGTCCAAAATATGCACTTGAGTGTCTATACCTCGCATTCCTTCAACAAGCTCTTCTTTCGCCAAGAGATAGTGAGCGGTTAACCTGGAATAGAACAGTGTGTAATGGAAATGGTCCTGGTAAGAATATTGCCCTAGATCTTGAAGTTGAATTCAGCAACAACCACCTGAAAAAGTGTATCAAAAACCTTGGTCCAAACATCACTGAAAAGGCTGTAACTCGAATTTGTAAAGCTGAATCAGCAACCAGAGCTACCTTAGATCAGCTAGACCAGGAACTGAAGAGGGTGGGGAAGTCTGGCAGGCACACTGCCCCATCTCTTGATGGAGATTTAGATGTGCTTGTCAAGAGACTTGTAACAAACAATGCTTTTCAAGAACAACCCAGTAGAGCCTACAGACATTTTCAGGATTTTGAGAGGGATGCATTCAAAAAACTGGATGTTTCTGAAACTTATAAATGGATCAACAAGCACAAGAAGAACATTCACCTTGGCATAAAAGCAAGATAAGGAAGCCACTCAAAGCTGGCACACTGCATTACATTATGATTTGTATTTTCTATTTATGATTTTGCCTATTTATATAAGAGACCAGTTGTACAAAGGTTGTGTAAAGTTGCCAACCAAGTTAAGTTCAGTGTACCCGATTTTATATGCTGGTTAAGTTTTTCAGGTGGATAGTGCTATTCACCCATTGTACAACCTGTCCCTCAATAGCCATTAGCTATTTGTATTTTTATGAACTTCCTTTCTTTATTTTTAGAGGAGAATCACTTGAATCATGCAACTTGTGATATGCATATAATATATATATAAATTTGTGATATTCCCTATACTGCTTTACTTACATGTAGATTATGACAGTGCATCCTTGATATTGTTATTGTTAAAAGAATTATCAACAGTATCTTATTTCTAATGGGATTTTTATGAGATTCCAATGTGTCATATGTAACTGGTGTTATTTTTTGGTAAATTAAGGGCTTAATTACTTTGACTATGTAGCTATTTATTCATGCAAAAAGCTATTTATGACAAGTCAAGGACACATATAAATATATTTATTGGTCTGTCATTTCTTGAGTTGGTACTTCTAATTATACATTCAAATTTCATTATTTAAAGAATCTATTTTCCTAAACAATAAATCAGTATTATTATAATCAGTATTATTATTTATTTTACTAATTCTGTTCGTCATCAAATGTAACATTTTCAAGTAGCTGTAATGCTTCCTGCCTTATGTCTGTGACAATGGAATGTTCATTCTGATTGTCATTTGAATTGTCCATTAATGAGAAAGACAAGTTTTCAATCATGAGGTCTAGAAGTTCATCATCATCAAAAAGGCAATGCCAATCACTTTCCATTAAGTCATCCTCATCATCACAGAGTGAGTCGTCTGCTTCAGTACTAGCAAGATCATCAGCTTCGGCTGGAGGAATGTCTCCAAATGTGAACCTGAGCAGGTCCAAAATCTTGATTGCATGTTTTTTGTCCCAGATCTCAATGTAGTTATAGACATCTTTCATGTTGAAAAGCTTTGAACAATATGTTAGTACTTGTGAAATCTGAAGATCTGAAAATCCAACCAGATAATGTACATTTGTAAGAGTTTTAATGTCACCATTTGAATATTGGCTCATCAGCTCCATTATGAGAGTTTTATGATACAATCTCAACTCATCATGTAATTTTTGCAACTGCTTTGTATTGCATTTCCTCTCATTGSTTGAAACATGTATTTCAGGATCTGACTGTACTGGGAATTTGKCAAAAAWTTTACATTCTGGCAGTCCACAATCACATAATTGTGCACAATTGTCACAGCACATATGATGTATTGGAGGYTTTAATGTTTSACTAGGTGACTGATCAAATTGTTTCATGAGGTATTCCCTTCGACACTCTGTTGTTTTGATAAATTGTTTAATGTCGCCTTCCACATGAGTAAGTAACATTCCTGTATATAGAACATAGGCATAGCTTTGAACACCATCGCGTCCTGCTCTGCCACTTTCTTGAACAAATGATTCAATGTTCTTGGCAGRTCCAAAGTGAATAGTTCTGTGGACACCTTTACAATCGACCCCCATGCCAAAGGCAATGGTGGCTACTAAAATGTGAATTGAACCATTTACATCACTAAAGGATTTTAAAATGTTTTCCTTATTTGCTTGCGGTGTACAAGAATGGAGCATTTCCACCACAGTTCTTTTACAGTTCTCTTCATCATCCACAAAACAATGCTTTCCTAGCAGAGACTTTATAGTAGTGAAGATAATGCTACATTGTTTTATAGTTTGACAGTAGATGATAGTTTTTTCTGCATTGCTTCCTTCCTTTATTATCTCCTCCAGCCAAGATATATAAAACTCAAGTTCCACTTCCTTTGGGAGGTATTGGGAGGTATTTTTTTGTTTGGGCTTTCTGATATTATACATGGATCTTGTAAAAGTAAAATATCAATAATAGCATTTCGGGTGGATTTAATGGCGGTAGCTGTTAGTGCTATAATATTTGTGGTGGGTGCCAGTGCTCTGAGCTCATGAAGTCTTGCATAACAGTCTCTAAATGGTGCTAACTTGTTTGAAGAGGATGTGCCCCTATTGAAAACAAAAAAAAAACAATTTATTATTTTATGAAAATTTAAAACAGTTTTATCAATAAAACCAAATCGCAATAGACATAAGCTAAACAACTGATTGTGCTAATGAATACCATTTTTGTGACAATTAAAAGCGAACACTCGTATTTTTAAGTCTTCAGTATAYTGAATTTTCAATCAAAAACTTACCATTGTTTAATTACATGTGCTTCGTCAACAGCAAATGCACACAGTTGATTCGTATAGACTGAGTTTCCTAACATCGCCAGCGCTCGTTCTTCATTAAACTCTCTGGCGTAGCGTATAAATACGTGTAGTAGCCGTCTTCTACCTTACGACATTCTTCTTCAGTTGATAAATGACTCAAGCTCACAGCTCGCAGACCAAGAGCTGTTAGGCTTTCGATTTGGTTCCGAATCAACGTGAGAAGCGGTGATATGACAACAACGACGTGTTTTTTTTCCGGGACGATCTCATCAAATACGACTGGAAGAGCCTGGTAAATTAACGATTTCCCAAACCCAGTAGGTAAATTTACGAAGACGTCTTTCTTTTTCGTAACAAGGTTAATGATTGCAGCTTTTTGTTGTTCATTTAAGGAATGGATTCGAAAAACTTCGCACACTTTGTCAAAACCTCTTTCGAGTTCCGCCATTTTGAATGAATGAGCTTCATAAATCCTTTGTTTCGAATAAGCCAATCAGGGTCGACTTCTCGAAAACAGAAGCCTGATGGTGATTGGTTTATTTCAAAGAACGGAATTCACCGCCTGGGTCAGCAGCCGTTTGTGGGGGAGGATTAAGGAGACGACACCGGAAAACGGCTGCGAGGAGTCTAGTGGATAGTCTGCTTGTGTGTAAAACAATGGAAAATATTAATAATAAAATAAAGCATTTTAAAATAAAGCATTTTATTCTGAATAGACTGCAAGACATTCTGCACAAACTGTGCTTAGCATCATTTTTACCTTTTTTAAATTTGTTTTGCAGTATCTTTCTTATGCCAAAATAATACAACATGTGTTAACAAGGATTATGGGAGTGTTGTCATGGAAACACTACAGAATGTCATTCAGTGTGAGTTACTGTTTTTTTTATATTTGCTGATATTTGCTGATGTATAGTTTGGTGGAGTGGCATGGATACCCCACTAATAAGGCCACTATCTATATTGGAACATGAACTAAATTAGAATACATTGGGGTATCAGTGTTAATTAATATATAAAATAGATCAAAAAGTTATTGGTATTTTTTCAAAAACAAAAAAAAACAAAACAAATGCCCTTTTTTATAGTGATGGAGATGGGAGAGACCTTGATAATGTTACCAGACAAGGTTCTACAGTCTTGCATTGCTGGAATAACAGGTAAATATACATATGAATATCATGTGTCTATGTCCCTTTTACCCTTCAAAGATGATGGTTTTACCAGACACATCTGCAAAAAACCTATAACGTCTATAAACCAACCAACATTCCTTGTATRTGCCCCTTGAGAATTCATTATAATTGTACTATTGTATTCATTGTAGTATTCAGTAATAATATTTTCTAAAACACACTAGCTATTATTAAGTCTCCAAGCACAACAGAACATCAAACTCTGCTGAAGGCCCAAGTATTGAACCTTGTGGAACACTTGGTTAAGGAAATGTCAGGCTGTTCTACGATTCAGGTATTTATAAGGGGTTACTTTTGATAATTAACAGTCGCGACTTCCGGTCTCGTCAAATTTCCTCCCAGAAGTAACTTGAATTTGACGAAACCGGAATTCTCGTATGTTAAAAGAGACTAGTAATGCTTTCGATTGTGTAAATTAATCCTGTAATATCAGTTCTCTCAAAAGATATCCAAACTGCTAGTTTCATTGGGAAGTTGTCAAGTTTTATGTAATGATGTTCTTTGTTGTCTTACCTCACATGTCT